CTAAAATTTTATGAACATTTCCATATCGATTTATAACTCAAATAAGTATTTTAAATGTAGACAAAAGAGTGGACTTAAATTAAATATATAGTTCATTAAAATTCGTTCTATCTTAACCCCTTGCACTATTCGGAATCTTAGGAAATGCCAGGCTAAACGCGGCTGCCTCGATCATCGCGGTGAAAGACGAGCGCCGCAGCGCGCGTGCCGAAATTTGAAACCTATTTTTACGACCGAACGCAAGATAATCGTGTCCGTATTTACTTCACGCGATGGAACTCTTGTTAAATTTAAATGAATTTGAATCAAAAACTTTTAAAAAATGCTTTAATTATCACAAATGATGAAAAAATATAGCAGATGCTATCTAGAATGTAGACACACACAATACCATTCGAGATGTTCATACTTGGTCTAAAACTAAGCCTACGAGTCGGACTCGTGATATACATGTTCGGCCTGAAATGTCGAGTACGAGTCAAGCTCGTGATATTCATGTTTGATCTGGAACTGAACGACGAGCCCGACTCGTGACATCCATATTTGGCCTAAAATTTTCATCACGAGTCAGACTCGTTAAAATAGGTCAAGGGGTTAATATAAAAAGTAATGACACGAACGTTTCAAAGATATAAAAGATATGTGTACAAGATATGCACTTTATAGCATTGCATTCTATGAAAGTTTGTGCAACTTACATAAAAAACATTAAGCCTTAAAAAATACTCTACGCGATGGGAAAAGTGTATATTTTTATTTTATATAAAGTTTATTAAAATTCGATCCTTTATTGTATAGAAAATAGAGACGCGAACGATTCAAAGATATGACAAATATGTGTGATAGGTATGTACTTTACAGCATTGCATTCTATGGAAGTTTTTTAATTTTACATGCAAATCATTACAGTTAAAAAATACTCAACGCGTAGGAAAAAAAATGTACTTTAATTTAATATAAATTTTATTTAAACTCGTTCCCTCTAAGTATAAAAAATAGTTACGCGAACGTTTCAAAGATAAGACAGAAAATTGAGAAAGATATTCATTTTACAACATTGAATTCTATAGAAGTTTATGTAGCCTACATGTAAAAAATAAGGCCAAAAAAAATATCCTGCGCGTAGGAAAAAGAGTTAACGTAAATTTAAAATTAACGTAAATGAAATTTGTTTACTTTCAGTATAAAAAATAGTGACGCTAACGATTCAAAGATATGACAGAGAGGTGTGATAGATGTGCATGAATGAAAATGATATTAAAGAAATGTGTAAAGTGGCGCACCGACAGCTGCGCAGTGGGCTACTGCGCAAACCAAGAGTTACGCACCAGGAGTTGCGCAGTAGCCTACTCCGTATACTGAAAGTTGCTCACCGCAAGCTACGCAGTAGCCTATTGCGCATATTGAAAGTTGCGAATAGGAGGCTGCGCAGAAGGGTAATGCGCATAACGGAAGTAGTGCATATTAGAAGTTGCTCACCTAAAACTGCGCAGTTTGCTACTGCGCATATCGAAACTTGCGCACCGAAATCTGCACACCAGGCTACTACGCACACTGCCAGTTCATTAAAATTTGTTTACTCTAAGTATAAAAAGTATTGCCGCGAACGATTCATAGATGTAAAAGATATGTGTGAAAGATATGCACTTTAAAGCATTGCTTTTTGTGGACGTTAATGTAGCCTAAATGCAAGAAATTAAGCTTAAAAAATACTCTTAACGAAGGGAAAAGAGTGTGCTTAAATTTAATATGAAGTTCATTGAAATTCATTACCTTTAAGTGTAAATATAGTGTCTCGGACATTTTAAAAATTTGACAGATATGTGTTAAAAATATGCACTTACAGCATTGCATTCTATGAAAGTTTAAATAGCTTACATGCAAAACATTAATCTAAAAAATCTACTCTACGCGTAAGAAAAAGAGGGTTCTTTAATTTAATATAAATTTTATTTAAATTCGTTCCCTCTAAGTATAAAAAATAGTTACGCGAACGTTTTAAAGATCTGACAGATACGTAGGATCAGGTGTGGGGAAGCAAAACAAAAGGTTGATGGTAAATTTTTTTGGTGTATATATTGGGAAAATATCGGTATGACAAAAACGTTTGAACACTTCTTAAAATAATAGGAAATATAACAACAAACGGAACTTCTTAAAAGCCTAAGGATATACGTCTTATACGGTTTGGAAATATAACGACTTAAACGACTTAACAAATAACCGACTTAAACGATTAAAAAAGATAACGACTTAATGCAAATTGTGTACTTTACTTTAATTTACAGTTTACTGAAATTTGATATTATTGAGTATAAAAAATAGTGACAAGAACTTTTCCAAATTATTGCAGATATGTGTGAAAGATATTCTTAATACAACATCGCATTCTGTGGAAGTTTATGTAGATTACATGCAAAACATTTAGCTTTAACAAATACTCTATGCGTAAGGAAAAGAGTTTACTTTAACTTAATATAAAGTTTACTGAAATTCGTTCCCTCTCAGCATAAAAAATAGTGACGCGAACGTTTTAAAGATATGACAGATATATGAGAAAGATGTGCACTTTACTGCATTGCATTCTATAGAATTTTATGTAGCTTACATGCAAAACAATAAACCTTAAAAAATACTCTACGCTGTTAAAAAAGAGTTTACTTAAATTTCATATAAAGTTCATTGAAATTCGTTCTATTTAAGTATAAATAATAGTGACGCGAACGTTTCAAAGATATGACAGATATGCTTGAAAGATATTCTTCTTACAACATTGCATTCTATGGATGTTTATATAACTTACATGCGAAACTTTAAGATTAATAAAATACTCTATGCGTGGGAAAAAGAGTCTACTTTAATTCAATATAAAGTTCATTGAAATTCGTCCTCATTAAGTATTTAAGTTAGTAACGCGATCGTTTCAAAGATAAGACAGACATTTGGATAAGATATGCTTTTTACATTATTGTATTCTATGATAGTTTATGTAGCTATCATGCAAAACATTAAGTTTAAAAAAATACTTCACGCGTAGAGAAAATAAGTGTATTTTAATTTTACTTAAAGTTTGTTAAAACTCGTTTCTTTATTGTATAAAAAATAGAGACGCGAATGATTCAAAGATATGACAGATATGTGTGTGTTCGGCGATTTAAAGTTGGTAGAGTTGATTCGTATTGCGCGCTGAATAGGTAAGGTTGCGTCGGCTTCAATGAGGTTGCGTGGGCGCGCAAGGGCCGTCGAAATGCATGCGGGCGCGCCTTATCATGCGAGAGGCTTAATAGAGCGTTTTGAGTTGTGTGGTAGAGATAGGATGCGTAGGGCCTTGTGCACGCGCTTCACTTATATTCTGGCTTACATTCTGGCTAGCTTAGAAAGCAGTTCGTTTCCTAATAAGAGAGTTCCGCTATATTGGCATTATTGTGGTCAGCTTTGCTGGCGTGTGCGAGGTTTGGTGAAAGGTGCGTGGAGCAGCACGAGCGAGAGGCTGGTGCGAAGAGGGTTTTTTGGTGCCAGTCACCAAAAGACTTGTAGTCGGGCAGATGCCACGAAAGATTTGTAACGTGTCGGTGGACTACAAACGAGGGAAGGGTTGTAGTCGCCAGGCTACAATCGGAAACTTGTACCAGTTCTGGCTAGCAACGTGGGATAAGTTTGTGGCTAGACAGGATATCGTTAGGTGATTGTATTGCGTCGTGCGATAAAGAATAGTGTGCGTTCGGTTACAGCTTTGCGGCGGAAGCGTAAGGTAAGAGAGCTCTCTAGCGTGCGACCAAAGGTACCTCACGACGTAATTGTATTAATGTATCTTTTCTTTCAGCCTTTTGCTTCTCATTAGTTGTTTATACTATTTTTCTTTAAAATAAAGCGTTCACTTGCCCCGGCTTTTCTCTCAATTCCGTGAGAGTTTTTATGCCGCTGCAAGCAGCTTTGTGCCACGTAAAACTGTCTTGATTTATTTATCTATCCTGCCCTATCTCACTCATTCCAGCGTTAAGTCCTTCTTGAACTCATTACATTATTCTCGACCATTTTCGGTCACATATAAATGCTACAAACACATTCTATGGAAGTTTTTGTATATTAGATGCAAATTATTAGGGTAAAGAAAATAATCAACGCGTAGGAAAAAAAATGTACTTTAATTTAAAATAATGTTCTATAGAAATTGTTCTCTTAAGATATAAAAAAAAATGACGCGAAGGTTTCAAAGATTTGACAGACAATTGTAAAAGATATGCACTTTACAGCATATCATTCTAAGGAAGTACATGTAGCTTACATGCAAAATATTAAGCATAAAAAAATACTCTACGTGTAGGGAAAAAAGTGTAATTTAATTTAATATAAAGTTTATTGAAATTCGTCTTCTTTCAGTATGAAAAATAGTAACGCGATAGTTTCAGAGATATGACACATGTGTGTGATAGATATACATGAATGAAAATGATATGGCAGATATGTGTGAAGTGCGCACCAGAAGCTACGTAGTAGGCTTCAATGCGTAACGGAAGTTGCGCACTTAAAACTTCGCTGCATGCTTTAATGCATTCTAGAAGTTGCTCACTGGAAGCTGGATAGTAGGCTACTTAACATACAAAGAGTTAAGCAGCAGAAGCTGCGTAGTAGTCTACTGCGCATACTGAAATTTGCGATCTGAAAGCGGCACAGTAGTCTACTGCGCATACCAGAAGTTTCAAACCAGAAGCCTCGCAGTAGCCAACCGAGCATCCGGAATTAGCGCACTGAAAGCTGCACACTAGACTACTAGTAAAAAATATTGACGCGAACGTTTCAAAGATTTAAAAGATATGTGTACAAGATATGCACTTTATAGCAATGCATTCTATGGAAGTTTATGCAGCTTATATGCAAATCATTGATCTAAAAAAACTGCTTTAGGCGTAGGGAAAAGAGTGTACTTTTCAATAGTATAAATTTCATTGAAATTCGCTTACTCTAAGTATAAAAAGTAGTGATGCGAATGTTTTAAAGATATGACAGATATGCTTACAAGATATGCACTTCACAGCTTTGCATTCTATGGAAGTTTATGTAGGTTACATGCAAAACATTAGGCTTGTCGCGTCCTGTTGACAACTAGCTTCGGGATTGGCGTTAGCACTGGAAATCCGAAACTTACTCTACTATTGTTTATACATAATATAGCAATAATTTTTATTATATATCTTTAGATTCTAATTTTGAAATATTTAATTTGAAATATATAATTATTTTTTTTAATGTTGTCAAAGAGTTTTCGACAAACATCAAATTCAAACTCGACGTAATTTAAATATTCCGTATTACGTGTTACATGAAATCATTTCGCAGTAAGACAATCTTTGAATATCTTGATTTAATTGATAATCACGTTTGAATATAGCGTCTATTAATACGATATATTATTTATCATTTTTTCTTTAATAGTTTTTCTCTTTGTGACTTCTACCCAGTCTTCTTCGAATGTTTACAATTTATAAATACATCTAATACGTTCTAAATGCACAACTTTGGTAAATATGTTAGTGTGAATAAATTTGCTTATAGATCTATTATATAAAATTTACTAACTTTGCAATTATGTAATATGGTTGTTATATTTGTATACTTTATTATTTTTGTATTTTCTCTGCATACAGTATATTATATATTGTCATGTCTATCTTATAAACGCTCTTATGAACGACCGTCGATATTGGCATCTTGTTAGCATGTGGCAAATAGAACAGCACGGAATAATTGTCGTTCATGAGAAAACCTGCCTTACCTACTACTAGGGTCGGTAAGCGGGACCGTCGATAAGTGGAAATCGGTAATACCGACTTCGCGCTCCTACAGTACCGACTTTTCTGCTAACCATTTATTAAGATTTAACTTTTTTCACTTCAAAGAATAATAATCGTCAGCACATGTTTCTCCAAGATTTGCAGAAGAAAAGTTGGTAGTAGAGGAAGCATTTTGCGTAAATGGAAGATCCTCCCACTCTTCCGAATGGGACTCTGCGTGGAAAGTTGCTATCATCCCCGCAGTCAGTCTACCGCCTAATTTCTTATAGTTCGCCTAAAAACCTAAATCTAGCGTCTAATTTCATATAGTTCGCATAAAAACTAAGTCTACCGTTTAAATTCAGATAGTTCGCATAAAAACTATAAACTACGAATTTCGAACTTAGCCGACATTTGCTACTAAGTTTCTCGATATTTTAAATACAGTCCTATATTACATTCTAGTTTAGTCTTTACGTTATATTTTTATATTAACCTTATAATCATTTAATGATTTTGCGTTTGCTTTAAGCCGCGTTCGTATTACGTCGCAATTTTATTTTGTGTAAACTGTTGCGTAACTTAAGTTTATTCAAGAATATACTTTTATTTTTCTAAACATTGGAACTGTTATTAAACTAAGTGATTAATTTTTCATCTCACCTGAGTCCTGTAAACTAGTCATTCATCGGCTATAACCTATCTCCGAACTCAACGCCACAGCAACAGAATTTACGAAACTTCCAAAATTTGCACGATATTAACATCAAGGTAAGCTACCATCTTTTACTCATATAAGGGGTTAAGCTTCAGCATAGATCCCGTGTAAAGTACTGGTTTCACAGATTGACTCAAAATAGGGCGTTTCTTCTCTCTACCGAGTAAACAGCTAAGAAGTCGTGACCGGACCAGAGAATTCTTTAAAATTGTTTTTGCTCCTTGACAATCTCCTTCTGGAACGTCACACATGACAAAAATATCAAAATATAGACATCAGTCCACACTAAATATAAGGGAGTTATTTCAAATTACTTCATGCGTCAACAGGCATAACGCGCTGGCAACACTAGTTCCTGCTCGATTATTTAAGTCAAGCAGCGCTTGAGTACGATTAGAACTGAGATAGGTGAGAGAGATGGCTTGAGAAAAATTTGTAATCGCTTTGCCCGCGCCTCGTAAATACCGATAACTTCGTGGTGTCGATTTTTCGGTCGCATATAAATTAAATTTCCCAAACTCGCCAAAAGAAATATAACTGCAAAAATACTCTACGCGTAGGGAAACACTGCATTTTAATGTAACTTAAAGTTCTATTATATAAAAGTCGTTTCCTTTAAGTATAAAAAATAGTGACGCAATCGTTTCAAAGATATGACAGATAGGTGTGATACATATGCATAAATGAAAATGATATGATAGATATGTGTGAAGTAGCGCACCGAAAGCTACACACAAAGCTACTGCGAACAGCAGAAGCTTTTTAGGATCTGTTTACTCTGAGTATAAAAAATATTGAAGCAAAAGTTTTAAAGACATAAATGATATGTTCAAAAGAGATATGTAATTTGCAACATTGCATTCTATGAAAGATTATGCAGCTTATATGGAAAATATTAAGCTTAGAAAAATACTAAACGCGTAAAGAAAGAGAGTACTTTAATTAAACCTAAAGTTCTATAAATTTAGTTCTAGTTAAGTATAACATGCCACTGCAAGGGTCACTGCAATTTTTTATTTTATATATTTTTTACCAATTGTAGCAGCAAATGCAACTGCAACTTCACATGCAACAGCTACTGCAATAGCAACTGCACTCTTTTTTTATTCTAAAATTTTGACTATTTTTAACTAAACATAAAACTTTAGCAGCAACTAATATTGCCACTGCAACTGCTACTGTCCTTGCCACTGCTACTCCTACTGCATATTTTTTTTATTTTTTTGTTTTGTACATTTTTAACTGCCCATGCAATTGCAAATACACATGAAACTGCAACAGCAAATGCAACTGCAGCTTCACATCCCACTGCACATAATACAACTGCATCAGCTACTGCTACTGCACATAAAATTGCAACTGCCATTGCAAGTATATTTGCAATTGCACATAATAATGAACATGCTACTAAAACAGTCTTTGCACATACAACTGCAACTGCAACTAAAACAGCAAATGCAACTGCAAATGCACATAAAACTACCACGGCAAATGCAACTCCATCAGCAAGTGCCACTGCACATGCAACTGCAACTGCAAATGCGCATGCAAATTCCACTGCAACAGCAAATGTAACTGCTCGGACAAACTGAAACTGCAACTACAGATGCCACTGTAACTGCAACCGCAACTGCAAATGCTCGTTCCACTAAAACTGTAACTGCAAATGCCACTGTACTGCACGTCCAGCTGCCACTGCAAGTGCTACTGCACATTTAACTGCAACTGCATATGCATCTGCAACTTTAAATGCAACTGTAACTGCATATGATACGGCACCTGTACATGCTACTTGAACGGCGCAGGATACTACCACTGGACATGATACTGCAAATGCCACAAAAACTGCAAACGCAACTGTGACTACAACTGTAACAGCACATGCAACAGCATCTGCAACTGCAAACTGTAACTAAACATGCAACTGCAAATGCACATAAAACTGCAACTGCGAATAGAACCGCATCTTCACATGCCACTGCACATGATACAGTAACTGCATCTGCCCATGCTTCTGCACATGATACTGCATTTGCACATGCAACTGTGACTGCAAATGTAACAGCATATGCAACTGCAAATGCTACTGCAACTGCAACTGCCACAGAACATGCCACTGGAAATGATAATGTGACTGCATCTGCTCATGAGACCTCACATGGTACTGCAACTGTACATGCATCTGCAATTGCGACTGCAACTGCACGTGCAACGGCAACTTCAACTGCAATACCACATGCAACTGCCACTGCAACAGCAACTGCAACTGCACATTAAACTGTTACAGCAACAATAACTGCTACTGCACATTCAACTGCTACTGCACATTCAACTGCTACTGCAACAGAGACGGCTACTGAACATTCGATAACAACTGCTCATGCATCTGAAACTTTAAATGCAACTTTAATTGCATATGCTGCTGCACATGAAATTGCCACTGCATCTGCATATTTACCTGCAATTGCACATAAATCTGAACATTCTATTACAAAAGTTACTGCATATGCAACTTTACCTGCAACTGCAACAGCACATGCCACTGCAAATGATACTGTAACTGCATCTGCTTATGCGACCTTACATGGTACTGTCATTGTACATGAAACTGTAATTGCGACTGCAACTGTACATGCAACAACACCTTCAATTGCAAAAGCACATGCAACTGCAACTGCAACTGCAACAGCACAATAAACTGCTACTTTAAAAGTAACTGCTACTTGCCATTCAACTGCTACTGAAACAGCAACAGCTACTGCACATTCGATAACAACTGCTTATGTATCTGAAACTTTAAAGGCAAGTACGACTGCATATGCTACTATAACTGCACAAACAAGTCGAAAATGCACATGAAACTGCAACTGTAAATAAAACTGCATCTTCACATACTACAGCTCATGATACAGCAACTACATCGGTACATGCTTCTGCACATGATACTGCAAGTTCACATGCTACTGCAACTTCACATTATACTACAACTGTAAATAATACTGCTTTTTCACATGCAACTGCACATGATACTGCACCTGCAACTACACATGCAACTACTAATGCAACAGTAACTGGTAACGCAAAATTTTTCTGCTACTGCTGCAGCTACTGCTATTGCACTTTTAATTACAACTGCTTATGCATCTGTTATTGCAAATGCAACTGAAACAGTATATGCTACGTCAACTTTATATGTATCTGAAACTGCAACTGCAACTGCACATGCAACTCATATATTAAACAAAAACTGCACATGAAACTTCTACTGCAACAATAACTGCTACTGCAAATTCTAAGGCTACTGCAACAACAACTGCTACTGCACATTAGAAAACAACTGCTCATGAACCTGCAGCTTTAAATGCAACTGCAACTGCATATGCTACTGGAACTGCAAATTCTACTGCAACAGCACATGCAACTTCATTTGCAACTGCAAATTGTAACTGCACATACAACTGCAAATGCACATGAAACGTCAACTGCAAATAAAACTGCATTTTCTCATGCAAATGCACATGATACTGCAACTGCATCTGCACGTGTTCCAGCATATGATTCTGCAACTGCATCTGCACATGCTTCAAAACATGATACCAAATCTGCTCATGCTACTGCAACTGCAAATAAGACAGCATCTTCACATGCCACTGCACATGAAACTTCAACTGCAACTGCAAATGTAACTATTAATGCAACAGTAAATGCAAATACACATTCTACTGCAACTGATAAAACAACTGCAACTGTACATTTAATTACAACTGCTCATGAGTCTGCCACTGAAAATGCAACTACACATGCAAAAGTTAATTAAAACCAAAAGTGCAGATGCAACTGCAACTGCCAATGCATATGCAGCTGCCAATGCAACAGCAACTGCAACAGCAACTGCTACTACACATTTAACTGCTACTGCACATTCGATAACAACTGCTCATGCATCTGCCACTTTAGATGCAACTGCAACTACACATTCTACTGCAACTGCACATGATACTGCATCTGCACATGCTACTGCAATTGCTGCTGAGACGGCCTATGCAACTATAAGTGCAACTTTATCTAGAACAACAACTGCACATGCAACTGCAACTTAAACTGCAATCGCAAATGAAACTGCTACTGCAACTACATCTGCCCATGAAACTGTAACAGCAACTATAACTACTTATTCAATTATTACTGCAACAGTAGCAGCAACTGCACATGCAACTGCATGTGACTGATACTGAAACTAAAACTACAACTTCTACGGAATAAGTAGCTGCAACAGCTCGTTCAAGTGCAACTGCAAAAGCATATACACATGCTAATAAAACAGCAACTGCAACTGCACATTTAACTGCTACTGCAACAGCAAGTAAAAATCCCCATTTAATTGCTACTGCAACAGTAACTGCAACTGCACATTCAACTGCTACTGCAACAGCAACTGCGACTGCACATGCAACTGCAACTGCGACTGAAACAGCACATTCCACTGCAACAGAAACTGGAAATTTTTTTAAACATATATTTTTTAACATTTATAACACCGCACGCAAATGCAACTGCAGTTGCCAATGCCACTACAAATTAAGCTGCAACTGCATTTTCTTTTTTATAAAATTTTTAACACTTATAACAGCAAACGCAATTACAACTACAACTGCAAAAGCACATTCTCATGCTACTGCAACAGCAACTGCAACTGCACATTTATCTGCTACTGCAACAGTAACGGCAACAGCACATTCAACTACGACTGGAAATGCAACTGCACATACTACTGCTACTGCACATGCATCTGCTACTGCACTTGCAACGTCACCGGCACAACAAACTGCAACCAGACATACAACTGCATCTGCAGATGCTACAGAAACTGCAACTGCAACTAAATTTTTCTTTTTTCTTCATTTTTTTACGTTTGAACCTGAACATGCGACTGTACTACTCATGCAACTGCATCTGCAACAGCATTTTTTTTATTATTATTTCTTTAACATATTTAACTGGCACATGCAACTGCATATTTTTTTTATCATATATTTTTTACCCTTTTTACCTGTACATGCAACTGCATCTGCAAGTGCACATGAAACTGCACATCTAAATTTTAAAATCTTGTGGTTTTGAGGTTTATTGAATTTATTACTTCTGCTTCCAATTCCCTTACCCTGAATGCATATGTATCAACTGGTTCATTCCGTCCTTGTTTTAAATTATGAATTTCGTTCAAATAGTCACTGAATCTTTGGCAGGGAGAGAGCAATCGTTTAACTTGTTGCAAATATGCATCCACTGACTGAAATTCTATGTGCCCCACTAACATTTTTTAAGCCCCTGTTGAACATTTTTTAAAACCGATAATTAGATCATTGATTGGGTATCCCCGGAAAACTAAAGCTACTCGCTCGCAAGCGTTCGTAAATGTATGTACAGTTATATTTTCTTCTTCAAATTTCGGTATTGTTTCTACATGTTCTTTTGGTCGAAAAATAATGCCATTTTGATTAAAAGGGTGGGTTGGTGGTTCAGGAAATATTCCCAGTAGAAGGTTGTGTGTTCGATGGAATAGGATTTGCCTTTGGAGTAGACTGTGTTGCCTCGCGTGTTTTCGACTTGATTGATTTTTTTTTATTAAAAATAAAATTTGTATTTAATATGTTCTTAGAATGATTTTCAATAAAATGCATGTATAAAACATTTCATTCTAAGCCCGCTTATCTTCCGATACGATAAAGGGCAAAGAATACAGATTTTCCGTTATAGGGACACACAGTCTCAATAACCCCCACCATGCTCGTTTTTGTGTATGTGTATGGGAGCGATTAGCGGTTGTTTGTGGGGGAGTGTTTTCGTCAGGCCTGTGCTCGAAGATATATTATTTTCAACGTTGCTTAACCTTTTAGATACGGCAGAACTCTGCGTGTGGCTATTTCTCTGGACGGCAGGGTCTGACGCGAACAACGTATAATTGATATAACACTGCAAAGTGTGGCGGGCAATTCCGTTCTGTCCACGAGAACATTCAAATAAAGTATTTGATGATTAAGTCATAATTTTT